GGACAGTGGTGGGGACAGTGGGACAGTGGTGGGGACGGTAGTGGTGGGGACAATGGTGAGGACAATGGTGGGAACAGTGGGGACAGTGGGACAGTGGTGGGGACTGTGGTGGTGGGGACAGTGGTGTGGGGACAGTGGGAATGTGGTGGAAACAGTAGGACAGTGGAGGGTACAGTGGTGGTGGGGACAGTGGTGAAGGCGGTGGCGAGGACGGCGGTGGGACAATGGGACATAGGTACAGTGGGGACAGTGGTGGGGACAGTGGGGACAGTGGTGGGAACAGTGGGACAGCTCAGTGGGACAGCGGAGGAGTCAGTGGAACAGTGGGGACAGTGGGGATAGTCGGGCAGTGGTTGGGGCCGTGGAGACAGTGGGGAGAGTGGAACCGTGGTGGGAACAGTTCTGGGGACAGCGGGGACAGTGCGACAGTGGTGGGGCCACTGGTGGGGACAGTAGGGCGGTGGTGGAACCAGTGGGGACAGCGGTGGTGAGGACAGTGGTGCTGGGAACACCAGTGGGGGATGTGATGCGGACGGTGGTGGGGACCGGGAGTCGTTTGCTGGCGGTGAGAGGGGGGGGTGGGGAGGGTTCGAACCGGTAAGTGACCCCCCCTCCGGTTTCGAGGGGGGGGGGGTGGTCGACCGGTATGACCCCCCCGTTTTTCGAGTTCGAGGGGGGGTGGGTTTCGAACCTTAGTGATCCCCCCCCGTTTCGAGGGGGAGGGGGGGGGGGGAGGGGTGGGGTTTTGGGCCGGTGGGATGGAGGGGGGGTGAAAAGGGGTCCCAGGGGGTTGGGGACCCCCGGGTTCTGGAGGAAAAGGGCGGCAATTTTCCACAGTAAAGCGGCGGTGGATCACGCTCTCTCATATGAAAATATATACACGTATGTTCCATGCTTCCTTACGTTCATTTAGTGATGATGAGAGGCGGCAGTGTCAGCGGAAGGCCGCAGTGGGGACAGCACTGACGTTTTGTTGCGTGTATCTGTTCTGCAAGGGTCGGGCCAGTTGAGTGGCGTTTGGCTGCGCCGTGCTGCCTACTTCGCAGTCCAAGCCTTCCGCGCGGTAGGTGCAGAGCGCCCTCATCCTCATTCAGCGCAAGCGCAAGTGGGACGAACATGGCAGTTCGCACCCTTCCGCTCAGAGTATTGTTCAGGAGGAGGGTTACAGTCAGCGTGGTGCAGGGACACGTGTTTTCCCAATTAGGCTTTGCTTCAGGGGTTCTTGTTTGTTTGTGAGGAAACTGGCGGGTGCCAGGCGCGGTCGGGTCTTTACCTCGTGGGGTTCCTTGGTTTTGTTCCTTCACAGTTGACGAGGCTTCGCCTGGGTTAGTCGGTCGTGGTGTCTTGGTTCCTTGATTTCTCGGTCTTGGTACCTAGGGTCCGTGGTATTGATTTTTGGGTCCGTGGTGCCTTGGTCTTGTTTCCGTCGTTCCTTGGTCTTGGTTCTTTACTGCCTCGCCACGATGCAAAACAACGCCAAGCAATGGCAAGCACTGCCACGCAATGCCAGGCACCGCCACGCAATGCCAACGAATGCCACGCGATATATGCCAAGTAACGCCAGGCAATGTGCCAAACAATCGCAAGCAATGCCACGCAATGCCTCGAAATGCGCCCATGCAGTAGGACGCTCTCCCCTAATTGAGGTCGCGCAAGCTTCATTACTTGAAGAACTTCTATGGCGTTGCTGTTCCAATCGTTTCTCTCTCTCTCTCTCTCCCCCTTCTGTCTCTCTCTCTCCTCTCTCTCTCTCCGGGCTCTTACATTATCACAGCTACCTCGCCGCATGGGCCCTGCATCCTCGTCGACGGTTCTTCTGCCGAGTGGTTGCTGTACGTCAGAGGTGGAGGGCGTTGCCTGGTCGCGCCGCTGTGAGATGGAAGCTGGCAGCAGAAGCTGCCGAAGTTTGTTGTTAGCGGGGCATTCGCCATTGTACAATGTTAGCCAGCGTGGAGTCCAAATAGTGACTTCCTACAATATACGCGGTGCAATCTAGGTGGTGCAAACAAGGTGATTCAATCCGTGTGTTCAATCTATGTGGTGCAAAGCAGCACAAGTCAACGCAAAGCAATGCAATGCAAAGCGACGCAAAGCAATGCAATGCTATGCAACGCAAAGCAATGCAGAGCATCGCAGGCCCAGGCGGCGACGGGGCGGCGACGGCGACCACAGCCGCCACACCGACGGGCAGGCACAGAGCGACGGGGCGGCGACGGCGTCCGCCACACCGACGGGCGGTCCCAGAAGGCGGGCGGCGACCAGGCGGCGACGGGGCGGCGACGGCCCACACGTAGCCGCCATACCCACGGGCAGGCCCAGTTCCTCCGAGAAGGAGTGAGAACCCCCAAGTATGATCACCGTTTGGGGAATGGCCCCAGACACCAGGAAGACTGCGTCTACTTTACCCAGTGAGGTTTTTCCAGCCGACAGGGCAGGCGTGCAAGGGATCATGGGATACTTACAGTTGACCAGCGAGGCGTGATGATGCCCGACGGGCGAATCAATTCCAGACAATCGCAATGACCCCGACGAGCGACTGACATGGGCAGCACTTTTATCCTTGATTCACTATATTACACGCGGTTGTCTCACTATTGGGCAGGCCGTTTTCACGATTAGGATTTCATTCTCAAGCACTGTTGAGTTTCCAATATCGGCTCAGCTCGCGAAGACCACAACACGGTAACCCACCCAAGCTAAGAATCACCGGAGGATTCTGCATGTGATGGTGGAATCATTTGCGGAGGAGGGCACGTGGGCTCTGTTGCCGCGTCGTTGATTGGTGGAGCATTGATGCGCAATGATAAGATGAGCGATGTTCCATTGATGTGTATGGCGCTTTTGGGTACTATCCGCGTGGTGGGCCACTGGCCCTGAGTTTCGGTTTTATCACCAGTGTGGGGCTGCTCCTGGCTATGGCCATGGCAAGCTCGACATCACCAGAACAAGCTTCGACCTTGCTTGATTTGCTGGTCGACATTGAGAAGCTGACAGCTGTTCATGTGACGCGTCGCACAGCACTCTACGTGACAGAAGCCGATGATTCATGCGAGGCGCCATGAAGTCTAAACATCGCAGGGTCCACTTCGATCCGATCGATCCGATTCGACATCGATTCCAGCCTGCTCGATCCGATTCGCTTCCGATGTTCCGACGACCCGATGCGGCCCGAGCATTTTGTCACGGCCGGTCGGGTTCATGTCGATTCCGTTCTGATACGGCCCAGTTCGATACTTGCTTCGGGGACGTCGAAGAGGGCGGTGGAGGATTACGGGGGGGGGACATCACGGCCGGGGCCACGACGTCGCCCAGGTGTCATTGCCCCCCCCTTCTTTCAGAATACGCCCACTAGTTCCCGCACGTGCCTCGGGCCATAGAAGGCGCTGACCCGCTCTTGCTGTCCCCCCTCTGTGGCGCACTCGGCTGCTCCGATCCGATCCGATCTTTCGAGTCGATGCTGGCCGCGAGAGGCTGCGAGCTGCTGGCGCGGCTGCAGCAGGTGGGCATCGCGGCCCGCTGCCCGCAGGACGGCGTCGCCGGAGGGCGGGCCGACGACGCCGATGTCGACGGCGGCGTCGACGACGATGACGAGGAGGAGGACGACGACGACGATGACGACGACGACGGCGGCGACGACGACTACTATTACTGCTATTACTGCGATTAATGACGGGCAACGAGGGCGAGGCCGAGGACGACGAGCGACAGCGAGAAACGGCGAGCGGCGAACGACGGTGGTGGCAACGGCGTTGGCGAGGACGAGCGGCGGCGGCGGCGGCGGCAGCGACGACGACGAGGGGAGCGAAGACGGGGCCTGGGTTGCGACTGCCGCCCTTCTCAAGGGCGGCCTCGCGAGGGCTCTAAGGTGACGGCGCGTCGCGCATCGCGGGGCGCGGCGCGCGAGGTTTGGTGATCTGGGGCACGAAGGCGACGACGGCGCGCGACGACGACCACGACCACGACGACGACGACGACGACGACGACTACTACTACTCCTACTCCGACTCCGACTCCGACTCCTACTACTACTACTACTACTACTACTACTACTACTGCTGTGGCTATTGCTCCTGCTCCTGCTCCTGCTGCCACCACTACTTCTACTACTGCTGCTAGTGCTACTACTACTACTACTACTACTACTACTACTACTACTACTATTTCTCTACTACTACTACCTACTGCTATACTACTCTACTACGACTTTTACGAGTTGTACTACTACGACACTACTACTACTACTACTACCACTACTACTACTACACCTAACTGGGCTCCTTACTACACTACTACTACTACTACTACTACTACTACTACTACTACTACTACTACTACTACTACTACTACCACTACCACAACCAACGCCACTACCAATACCACTACCAGTATCAGTACTACTACTACTACTACTACTACTACTACTACCACCACCACTACTTCTGATCCTGGTACCACCACTACTACTACTACCATCATTACTGCTACTACTACTACTACTACTGCTGTGGCTATTGCTCCTGCTCCTGCTCCTGCTGCCACCACTACTTCTACTACTGCTGCTAGTAGTACTACTACTATTATTATTGTTGCTACTACTACCACTACCACAACCAACACCACTACCAATACCATTACCAGTGCTACTCCTATTGTTACTACTACTACTACGACTACTGTCACTACTACTACTACTACTACTACTACCACCACTAGTTCTGCTCCTGGTATCACCACTACTACTACTACTACTACTACTACTACTACTACTACTACTACTACTACTACTACTACTACTATCATCATGTACTTGAACTACTACTACTACTACTACTACTACTCACTACTCCTACACTCCTACTACTACTCACTAGTACTCGTTGGCTAACTACTACATTACTACCTTTACTACGTAGTCTACGACCTACTACTCTACTACGACTACTACTACTACTACTAGGACTACTACTACACTAGATCTACTATAAGCTACCTACCTCCTA